ACATATTTGTTGACGTATTATTGCAGTTACAAAGCGGAAGTAAAATGCAGTAGTATTAGTATTAGTAGTAGTAGTAATAGTAGTAGTAGTAGTAGTAGTAGTAGTAGTAGTAGTATTAGTAGTAGTAGTAAAAGCAACAGCATCAGCAGCAGTGGTAGCAGTAGCTTGTATGAATATTTGTATATCTAAAGACAGTTTCAATCAATTCAATACGAACTTATTTGGTTGTGTGCATGATGTGTGAATTTATAATAGTAATAGTATCATTTTACTTGAACATGCAATCTTCTAACGATATGTGCATGCGTGTCTTGTATGTCTGTGTGTGTGTGTGTTTGTGTTTGTGTGTCTGTGCGTGTGTACAAAATTAATATATGTTCGTTAATTAATTAACATGTGCGTGTTAATTTTTGTGTACGTGTTTGTTTGTATGCGTGTGTGCGCGCACTTGTATGTTTCGATGATAGCACGCCATCGTAACCATCTTTGAAAGTTAAATGAAAATGAATAAATTTTTTTAGGTAAAATGAACAAATCAATGCAAATAAACACACAAACATCACATCCACGTACACATTACAAACACGCATACGCACGCACACGCGCACACACACGCAGGCAGGTAGAACAATATTTCTTAATTAATAAAATCATTATTCGACTCAAATCATCAGCCAACCATTGCCTCGAGTTATCGTATTATAAGATCCTTTTAATGCTGCTAGGAAATAAAAGTTGATGGGATGTAATAATTAAAATTAAGTTTAATGTTTGTGTGCTTGAATGTTTGTGCGATGACTGTATGTGTGTGTATTTGTATTTCCATGTGTGTTTGTATGTGATTGTATTGTTTGTATGTGTATGTCTGTCTATGTTTTTGTGTGTTTGTGTGTTTTGCATGTCAGTCACGGTGTTTGTTTTTCATGTCTGTGTGTGTGTGTTTGACATTGTGTTTGAGAGGAAGATGATTTGTTTGATGAAGCGGTATTTGAACTTTGAACTTTGGAATGATGTGTTAATGAAAAGTTTGACCACAATGCAATTCATCTTGAGTAGAAAACGATTGGATTAAAATTGCATAAATTTAAGTTTAATTAATAAATAAATTAGTTCTCTTGTATATAATTGCGCTGATTATTGATAAGTTCATTTTACTCATTCATTCGTTCATTCATTCGTTCATTCACTCAATCATGTATTCATTCATTCATTTTGATCATCAAATTTTTTACAATTGGTCACACATCGATACGAAAATTATGCTTATGATAATCAAATTTTTTACAATCATTTTTTACTGTCCTTTAGTCATCTTTACGACATCTTAAATTTTGTCGTGAATCAACAACACCTACACACACTTACACTCGCACTCACTCGCACACAGACACGCACACACACACACGCACGCAAAACAGAACCAAAGGTTAGGAACAACTTCAAAACAACTTTCCAGCCAGCCAGTAAAACAATACAACAACATAGCAACACAACACCGGCCACCATACTAAAAGGTACTCTTAAACATGGGATTTAACTATTTACATAACCTTACGCACTCTATATTTAACTCAACTCATCTTAATCAATACTGTATATATATATATATATAATATATATATATATATATATGTGTGTGTGTGTATGTGTGTGTGTAATACGTTTAACATATACATATATCTATACATTATACACATACATATATATATATATATTGCTCAAATGCAATATTTATATATACATATATTTTTCATTGCTCATCATATAAGAGTGTGAATATATGGTTTACTTATTTATGATGTTCAATATAGCCTAAACATGTATATGTGTGTGTTTATATATATATATATATATATATATATATATATACCATCATTGTGTTTTGTGTAAATTGAGTATTATACTTTACAACATGTATGTTTGTATATGTTTGTATATGGATATATATGTATATACTATCATTGTCTTATGTGTTCATTGACCATTATACGTTAAAACATGTATGTATGTATGTATGTATGTATGTATGTATGTATGTATGTATGTATGTATGTATGTATGTATGTATGTATGTATGTAGATGGGTTGTAAACCTGTTTATATAGAGCTAAATGTATATAAGACATTTGAGTAGTGGCACAAGAACATTAAGAGCGGAGTGCACTTTTAAACGTCTTCTCTCAAATGTGTATATTTGCTCTTGTATAATGGAGATTTATTTTTCGTACTTTATTTCTCTGAATTAGATTAATTCGTGAATGCGATTTTGCTGTTTGCGTGTGATAATTTAATAACATTTTGGTATAATTAGTTTTTGGATAAAAATCTTTCCTAATTTTATTGCTCTTGGTAGCATTTTAATTTCATTTTTTAATTTTATTAAAAAATATTAATTAATTATTAAATTAAAATTAAACATGCCTCCTGGAATTAGCAAAACGAGTAGTGAATTAGTACGTGAGAAGGTTCTCAGCAATTTATCAAATGCTGGGATCCATATTAAATCTAGCATGCTCACAGATTTTAGGGAAAGAAATAAGATAAAGAAGTTCCTATCTCCAGTCCATAGCAAAGATAAAAAAGAAAAGGTTAGTTTGTTTCTTTATGACTTTATGTCTATGAATTTTTGTAATTATATTATTTATTTTGTAATTTTTTGTAAATAATTTTGCCTCTTTGTTTAATACATATGTCATTGCTTATGTAATATATATTTTATATATTTATTCAATTTTCAATTGCATCACAAAATATTACTTTCAGATATCCTTTTTAAATAATTTAAATAATTTTTTTTTTGGTGATTAATCATTCACCATTTATGCATACATTCATGCATATGTATTGCAGAAATAAATTTGATTTGATGATGACAACCTCAAACAAATCATCCACTAATATAATATCTAATATTCTAATATATATGACATCTGTTGTTCATTAACAACCCACACACACAAACACAATAACTGTTTGATTGAAGTCAAAATCATAATTATCTCCACTCAATCTTTCAATTCATCCATCCATCTATTGATCACTTCCATTATTAATTACTTTCTAACTTTTTTGTATACTGGTAGATAAGTGGCACCCAGCTCATTGCATCTACTTATATTTAATTAGTTTTTTTATTAGTGTATAATATATATATATATATATATATATATATATATATAGAGAGAGAGAGAGAGAGAGAGAGAGAGATACCTTGTATTTTATATGAAAATATATACATACACATATACAAAAGAAAATTCATATAACTTTACATATTTGGATATGGTAATATGTTTTATTGATTTGTTTATCTTTGTGTTTAAGTAAAATACAAATAAGCATCTATATTTATACATTTTTTATGTACATGTTTGTTTGTTTGTATGTATATGTTTATGTTTGTGTGTATGTGTGTTTATACTAATTTGCACATATATTGACAGGTGTTTTTGAATGTTCACACATTTTTATATATAGCATTCTAGGCAGGCATACACTCAATTAGATAGAAATACAGATAAAAAATTATACATAATAGAACATATATGCATAAATTCACACATACATATCTGGAGATAGGCATGTTTGTGCATTATGTATATGTGTGTATGTATGCATGTTTGTATGAATGAATGAACATATGAATTTATGTATTTGTGGGTATGTTTATATATGTGTGTAGACTTGTATGTATGTGTGAATGCATGCACACATAGATAATGTGATATAGGCAGCATAAATATAGTTGGAATTATGTGGCACTTTGTTGATTGATAGAACAGTAGATAGATTAAAGGTAGAGATAATGAAAGAATGGATGATATATCTAATATGATGTGTGATATATATTTTTGATAATGTCATCATGTCTGTACTCCCCATTTTTCTGTGGATGTTTTGTCCTGATTTTGGATGTATATGTGTGTGCGTGTGTGTGTGTGCAAATTGCTAGTAAGTTTTTAAAGTATTTCTTTATTGTCATATTTATAGGCATTTAAAAATATAAGAATCAATCATTTATATGGTTGTGTGGCTTACATGCATGTATGCATGTATAATAAATACACATGGAGGGTTGCACACACCCAAGAACACAACATCTCAGATGATGTGTTAGCACAGACATTCTGAACAACTGACATTCATGGGTTTTGCTAGAATTCTGTTCCCTTTGTGTGTGTGTGTGTTTGTCTGTGTGTGTGCGCGTGTTTGTGTGTCTGTGTTCATGAATAGGTAATAATATCTTTGACTTAACATGAAACAAACAAGACAAACGCACATACAGTGCACGTACATACACACACACACATATATGCACTTAGGTATTGGATAATTCACACACTCTCACGCGTTCATACACGCACAGGCATTATGCAAATGTGAATGTGTACTAAAATATCTACATGCCGTATTTTGTATATCTTCTTAGATGTTATACAAATACATGCCCATACATTCATTCCAACAAAATTACAAACACACTTCACATACATATACCTGTTCATACACAACAAACATGCACATTCTATGTATAAACAGTATTTTCTTACACGCACGTAACCTGCTTCTACACGTACACACGCACACGTAAATTTGTGCGCGAATGTTGTTTGTATTACAGCAGATATCTGTTGCTTAATTACCTGGGTTGTTGTGTTGCTTGTGGTGTGTGGATCTGTTCTTACTACTGGCATTTTTGTTTGTTTGTTTGTTGCTTTGTTTGTTTGTTGCTTTTTTTATGTTTCTATAATTTGCTGTCTACGCATCTTTATTTTATGTGTTTTATGAATGTTTCATTTCGTTTGTTTGGTTCATTTTTTCATTTTCTACACTGACTTGTTTAAGACAACCAGAACAACAACTACTCTACCAACAAGTTCAACCCATTTTTGTAACCACAACAACAACAACGTTAACAACAACAACTAATCCAGACAACAATTGCATATATCTGCATGTATATCTGCTCAAACTAATTCCACGTTTTCAATTTCCTTCACTTCACAAGACTTATGCATGTGTGTGTGTGTGTGAATATATGTGTGTGTAGTGTGCGTGCGTGTGTTTATGTATGTGTGTGGTGTGTGTGAATGTATGTGTATGTGTGCGCGCGTGTATTCTGCATTGGCTTTTCTTGTTCTTCCAGTTGTAATATGCATAATGAGGAAGTGAATTCTTTCTTACCAATGGCTTTGTGTTTATGTATGTGCGTGTGTGTGTGTGTGTACGTGTATGTGTGTTCGTGTATATATTATGCATTAGTTTGTGTGTACATATGCGCGTGTTTGTCGGTAATCATCCTGTTTGCTATTATCTTCATCAATGCTCTTATCACATTTTTCATTTTAATCATTTATTTAATCATTGTTATCGCCGCTGTTATATCATATTTTATCATTTCATCTTAATCATCACCATCATCATCGTCGTCGTCGTCATCATAACTAGGAGCACACTAATTAAACTCTCATGTGTATAAATTAATGCACACATGAATGCTCAAACACAACATTTCTATGGGATAGCGAGGAAAACATACAAAATAATGCATTTTTGCGTTGTGGTGGGCATTTTGCTCTGGTGCATGCATGCATGCATGCACCTACGAGTATGTGGTAGTGTGTATGTGTGTTTGCTTGTATTTTTTCATATCATTTTGCTTATATTTGTAGAAAATATGTGAATATGTATGTGTGTTGTATATACTGATATGTGTGTGAAAGTTTTGTTGTTTTTGCTATTGATGACGACGACGACGATGGTTGTGTCATGTGGCTGCAGTTTACATTACGAATTTTTATTGTCACTTGATAACGCAAACGGGTTTTCATTAGCAATAAAACTCCAGGAATGAGAAATTTGGTGAGGAGGATCCTGATGATGATGGCTATAGTGGTGATGATGATGAAGCTGATGATGATGATGATTATTGTGACTTGAGCAATGACTACAAATACTCACGCACATACAATCAAAAACACATGCACACGAACACACACACGATATATACACATCAATATTCAACACACACACACATATGCCCGCACCATCCTCTGTGTGTGTGTGTGTGTGTGTGTATTAATAGAACTCTCTAAAAAATTTCTAATAGCCCAACACATTAACATTACCTTCATCAAAAGGTTTTTTGTGATGTTAATGGCCACATGTAGATTTCTTTTGCTCCAGTGGATATATTTATTTATACGCTTGCTTATTTGTATAGATGGATGGTTGGCTGGCTGACTGACTGACTGGCTTATTGATTTGTTGTTTTTTTAATGGTTTGTAATCGTTTTGAGCTAATCCCTAGCGCCAGTCTTAATTGCCACTATTGCCTTCTTCTTGCATGTGGTAGATTTTCTTTGATCTCAAGATGTTGCCCCCCCTTCTCTCTCTCTCTCTCTCTCTCTCTTTTTCAATCTCTCTTTTTGATCTTTCCTTCTCTCTGTTACGTTGGGTTTTCTTCCTTAGTCTTTTCCTATTTCTCATCTCTTTCTCTCTCTCTCCCTCTCTCTCTCTCTCTTTCTTTCTCTCTCGTCATGTTTTTTACAGTACTCACATTACTTTATAATGTTCAAGTTATGTTAACATATGCAAAATACCCACATGCATACAACATTTGTACATATAACCGCATACGCGAACACAGGCGTACAGGCACACATGCATACATACACACATGCACACTAATACATACACATACATACTAATACGCACACTCACACATACACACACTCGTACGCGCGCACACATACATATTCAGCACATCAGAGAACTTGTTTTAATGTTTGATCAGTCAGGTGTGAAGGATGTTGGTTGACGTCATTATCTCACTTTTTCCTCATTTATCTTCCGTTCAGTTCTGTTCAGTCGTTTATTTTTTTCTAATTCAAGAATCATGTCTTAATTTAAGTTAGAATTGTCACAAATATTTGCATTTTTTACAATATTTTGTCGATATTTTTTGCATTGTACTAAAAGAACAAATTGAAAACTTCAATCCGTAATTTACTTTCTACTGAAATACTCATTTCAAACACGAAACAGCAGCGTGCTTCGAAGTACTCACCCACTTTCTGTCCACGAACACCACAGATGCCTTTGAGAAGAAGGCTTACGATGAACAACAACACCATTTTTGGAGTGCAACTTGCCAGGGTGCCTATGGTCCATCTGAATGATGAAGAGATGATTGGCGATGTTCCGAGGTTTGTATTTGTTTGTTTGTTTGTGCGTGTTTGTTTGTGTGTGTGTGTATGTGTGTATTGTGGTTATGTGTGTGTGTGTTGTTTTTATTTCCTTTTCCCAGCATCTTATAAAACTATTTGGTATTTTAAAATACAGATTTCTGTATGAAGCATTCAACATCTTATCAAATCATCTGGATGTTAAGGGTTTGTTCAGGAAGTCTGGATCTATCACTAGACTGAGAGAGTTGCAGGTTTGTCGGTTGACTGATTGATTTGTTGATCGGTTTTATGATTGATTGGTTGATTGCTTTGATTTTTTAGTTCGCAGATAAGTTTTTTAATTGGTTGAACGTTTGATCTAACTGCCAAGAAGGGCATAGATAGGATGAAAGTTGAAATGTTTGATTGATTGATTTATGTTAGCAAGCAATATTTTTCTAGTTTGATGATTAACTGGAATGTTGTAGTTGCTGTTGTTTGTTCGTCTGATAGATCATTTTTCTTTGTCCAATTGTTTTTTGATCATTGTTGGAGTTCACTGTGTGACTGACTGACTGACTGACTGGCTGAATGGCTAGATGATTGATTGATTTTTTCAGTCACGATTACTGCATACATATTTCATATATTGTTATAGTGTTCCATTTATGTGTACGTGTTTGTGCGTGTGTGTGTGTGGTGTGTGTGTGTTCATTTAGATATAATTAAGATAGTATATACCCTTTGCTATTTATTCAGTGTATATTAAATTGTAAGAGTGTAAGCAAGCAAGCCAGTGTCACAGAAATGTCATGGGCATGTTTTATTGGCTCGTTTGACGGATTTATGAGCCATGTTTGAATTTATGAAGTTGTCTGGAAATTTGCAGAATCTGTTATTCTGTTGTTTTAGCTGCGTGTTGTTATTGGTTTTATGGTTTTATTTGTCCCTATCATTATTATTATTGTTAATATTATGTTCTGATTGTTGTTAGTTTTTGTTATTGTTGTCAGTGCGTTTATGGCGGGATTTCTCGGTTGCATGTTTATTTCAAAAGGCTGTGTTTGTTTCTGCGTGTGTTTGTGTGTGTGCGCGCGTGTTTGTGTGTGCAGTCTAATTAATGTGTCCATACGAATGTGTGAATTGATGTTTGCTGCCTGGCACAATTGAACAGTTTGAAATGCTAATTATACATGATGTATTTTTGTAATATGTTGAAGGTCTTGTTACGTATTAATGAAGATGTCACCAAATTTGTCCTACAAATAGTACCGATGTAGTTAATGAGACTAATATAGGTACCCAAATGTACCCTAACACAAACCCACAATCACGCACACTCTCTCTCAAACAAAGGCACTAACATGCACGTACACACAGACAAACACACGCACACATTCTCACGTTTCACATCTTTATCAGTCATTAATTGCCAAGTTGAACGCTCAGTTTAGCTAGATAAGCCCATTCATTCATTCGTTCCTTTCTCATTCATTCATCTGGTTGACACACAGAAACGTACACACATTCACACAAACACTTTTATACATATGCACGTACGTTGTACATATAGTGTGCTTTTTGTGTGCACTTATTGACATATGTATGCGTAATTAAGTAGGTGTTCAAATAGATAAAGGTTTTAGGCAATGAAGTGAGGCACCTATCTTTATGTAATACATATACTTATTCGTCTTTATCTACTTATTTGTTTGTCTGTCTGTCTGTCTGTTCGTCTGTCTGTCTATCTATCTATCTTTATCTGCCTATCTATCTGTCTGTCTGTTTGTCTATCCATCTATCTAGCTTATTTTTGCATTTGTGGATAAGTTTAATACGGTAGAGTGTATAGAAACACACGCACAAGTACACACACACGCACGCACACATCCACATATAAAATAAATACATATATTAAGAGAACGCCCATACATCAATGTCAGTGCTGGAGAGATTTGAAAATTAACATCTCTGAATATAATGCTGTTTGTCGATGGGTCTGTTGTTGTTGTTGCTGTTGTTGTTGTTGCTGTTGTTGTTGCTGTTGTTGTTGATGTGATGTCGTTGATGATGATGTTGTTGATGATGATATTGATGATGATGGTGATGGTGATGTTGTTGGTGTCGTGGTTGTTATTGTAATTTGGTTGTTGTTGCTTGGTGGTGAATAGTAGTTAGAAGAAAGCAAGCAATATTGATATAGGTGGTCTTATTCTGATTATTTGTATAAATTTGGTAACGCATACACAAATACACAATTAGGTATTTGTATATAACGTTGTATATGCGTTAGAAATGAAGTATTGAATGGATGTATGAATGTTTGAATGGGCGTGAAAAGAATGAACGAAGAGGGAATGAATGATAAAAAACTGCTTTGGTGTCATAGGTTAACATTTTATGATGTTGTTGTTACTTAGTTGGGTTGCTGTTGTTGGGGTGGTGATGTTTTTTGTGCAGTTGTTGTTTTTGCTGACGTTGTATCATTGTTTATTTGTGATATTGTTGCCGACGATGACGTCATCATAAATTATTAGGATGATTGTGCTATTGCCGCAAAATATTTGAACAATCTAATGAATTTTCTCCATGTAGGATGAAATCGAAAAGACGGGACACATCCGGTTTTCATCGTCATCGACTTCCTCGTCGTCATCATCACCGTCCTCATCACTGACGTCAGCAAAAACATCGACAACAACAATGTTGACAACAATGTTGACAACAAATGACGTCATCGATCTCTCTTGCCTGGTCAAGCAGTTCTTCAGACAACTTCCAGAGCCATTGATAACATTCAAAGTGTACAATCTGCTAGTCAGCTGCTGGGAAAAAATCAACAACAACAACAACATCAACGATGATAATAATAATGGGAACAGTGGTGTTGATGATAAAAATAATAATAATAATAATAGTAATAACAATAATAATAATAATAATAAGTTATCCTCGAAATCCATACTTCACGTTCTGTTACTTCTTCCTCCCGTCAATCTATCCACACTGAAATTGTTATCAATATTTCTACACAAAGTATCCCAACAGAGCTGCACCAACAAAATGGATTCATCAAACCTGGCCGTCTGTTTCGCTCCATCTATCCTCAAATCTGAACCCCTACCAAGAAAAAGTTTTTGCACTCTTGGAGATTTCAGTGGCGGCCACAGCAACCACCATCATCTGCAGCAATCACAAAAAGCGTTCTTGACAGAGTCCAACAACAGAACTACTTTGAAAAGTGAAGTTGCGATAGTCGAGTTTTTGTTGAAGCACTGGCAGGATATTGGAAATGTTGAGGAGGTTTTTCTGTCGACATCACCACCATCAACATCGTCAACCAATCAAATTGTTCCCAGTAAATTATCCCCCCTATCGTCGAGAAGCAACTTCTCATGCCACACGAACTCAACCACACTTTCGACGTCGACTGCACTTAGCACGAGCAAGAAGTTTGTTAAGAATAAAAACTGCAACAATTTCAGCACTCCTAGCAACAAATACTTATCGAAAGTGAACAGGAGAGCCGTTGATTTCAATCTGACACAAATTGGTAACTGCAGCGTATTTACATTTAAGTAGTGTAGTATTCATCGTACAGTTTAATAAGTGTTCCCAATACTTAGTGCTGGGTTATTTTAAAAATTTCATTACAAACCAAACAAGTATGCAACTAATTCAAAAATTGTTTTTATACTGCTACTTATACTAATACCAATCTAGACGACGACGAAAGGCTCAACTACACAACTACAACGGCCAGAGATGAACTATCCACCACCACCACAACAGCCACAGAAGCAACTTCATCAGCAGCAGGAGTAGAGCACTTGAATGTAACAACACCTGCAATAAGCATCAGTGACATGAAGAAGATGAAGAAGAAGAGGAAGATGCTGCAAGATTACAATAATGTTTCTACTCTCGCTTGCAAGTAAGTCACTCTTATCTATCTTCTCAGCTCTACCTTTAAATTTTTATGTAATTTTTTGGGGTTTTTGTTTGTACCAACGTAACTTATGATGATATGAATATGGTGGTTAATAAATTTGTTTATACTCAATGCATAAAGCTATGATTAACTTTGAAAATTTTTCAATTTTCACCAGAAAAAAGAAATTTTTGAGCATGTTTATGAGCGAGAAAAAGAAAAAATCAAAGAGCATGACCACTCGATCGCCATCGTCATCATTGCCGCCACCACCACCATCATCACCACCATCGTCGTCATCATCAACACCGCCACTACCGTTGAGACATCTTTCAACCACTCTTCCTCATCATCTCCATCTCGATAGTACGGCTGTTGCTGCTGCTGCTGCTGCTTTGGATATGTTAGCTGAATTTTGAGTTTTTGAATGAATGTGTGTAAATGAATGATTAAAAGAATGAATAGATGAATGAATTAAATAATTAAATTAGCTCATTAATTAATATTTTGCACAAATTTTAAAATATTAAACAAATATTACCGTTAATTTTAATTTTTGTCCTTTTTTTCTCCCCAGAAATCAAACGACAGTCACAAAGTCAAGCAAGAAGAACGTGAAGAATTTCTTCAACATGATCAGAGGCATCAAAAAGTCGTCTGAGGTTAGATTGAATTGAAACAACTATCTGAAACTTACAAATTTTTTATCACTCCTTCTCAGTTATTAAATTACAATCACATTTCTATGCAACACACAATGACTTTCTCTATGTTAAACAAGATCGTTTTGACAGTAAGGAATTTCCAATAATGATATTCAATATTTTATACAGCAGCGGGCGTCGTCGCCATCCGAGACACTGCCCAATAAATCAGTAATAACGATGTCGCTGAAGAAGTCGAAAGCAGCCAACAAGAGTCACAGCATTATTGAGAATAACTTGAAAGAAAACGTCGACCCGAATGTCACCACACGTACTACCAAACTCCACCACCACAACAACAACAACACTTCGTTCTTCAACAGTACTTTCTTCAACAAGACATTCAACAAAACCCAGCCACACAACACAACAGCGGCACACAACAAATCATCGTTCGATGGATTCAGTATATTTAGCAGAAGCTTCAAAAAGCGCAACAGCAAGAAAAATATCGACAACACACTGCTCAGCAAGTTGAACGTTACGAGCGTGGCCACCACCGCCACCGATGCAGTCAGTAGTAACTTGTATTCATCGACGAGACGACAGCGTTTTTCAGACGTTCTGACGTCTGCTAACAGAACGTTCAGTGACTACAGAACAAGCAGTAGAATGACGAACATGAGACACGGTTTACCGTATCAAGCTGATGCTGCTAACCATCACCGCCATAATCTCCCTAAATATAACAGCATAAATAACAGGGCTGATGGTGACCTGGAGGATGATTACAAATACAAAAATAAACAACTGAAGCGTAGTAATCAACTTTATCAACTACCGCGTCATCATCATCCCCACGGCAATCATCATCAGCATCGTCGTCATCATACCAAATATAACTTGGACCTTTCTTTCGTTGGTTCAAACGATGATGATGATGATAACAAAGATGATGTTGATGATGATTACTTCGTCGATGGTAATGTGAACAATCTAGACATAGCTATATTAAACAACGATGACGATGATGAGGATGATGTTTATCTCGATGATGACGAATACGACGATGACGATGATGACGACGACAAAGCAAAAAACTTCATCAGTCTCCGTGCCAACCCACTAAACATTGGCAGCACCACCAACAACATTACCACCAACAACAACCTCAACAACAATCTCAACAACATCAGCACTGTTGATGCAGCTGGTTATGTCAACTACCACAATGCCAATGAAGACACTCACCTATCCAACTCGGCTGATTATTCCTTGGATGTCCCGGAACTATCCAACCTCTCGATGGCCCTCAACAATGGGACCTACTGTGGACCGAAACGTCGCGGCAACAGCAGCAGTAGCAGCGGCCACAAGCACGTCAGTAATGTGACAAACAACAACACCACCACCAGCAACAACAACAGTATTTTCAACAACAGCAAGTCCTACCACAGCAACAAGAGTTTTTACAAAACAGACCCAGCCAAATGCAATAGTAAAAGTAACAACTGCACCAATAATTATTATTACATTAATTGTAATTTCAGCGAGGTGAGTCGTGATGCGTGTACCTCAGAATTTCATTGGCATCGTCGTCACCAGCATCTTGCCGATAAAACTTCCATCAAACCATTTAACATTGATGATGACGGTGATGAGATTCTTGAAACGGCAACTACAACAGCCGCAACCGCAGTTACAGTAGCCACAAACGCAGCAGCAACAGCTAACACAAAGCTACCTGGAAAGATCTGCCAGGACATTTCAACTCCAGCATATAAGAATAAACTGAAGAGGGAATCTTTATCAGATTCCTTCGTCACGTCCAGCAAAAAAACAACGAAACATGAACTTTTAATGGAAGAACCTGAAGAGCCACAGCAACAGCAGCAAGAAATTGCGCCACAGTATTTCGCGAACAGACCTCACACCAGCCAGCACCACAACAGCCAACAAAAGCAGCCACCACCGCAACGACAGCAGCTACAGCGACAACTGCACGCCAATGGCCTGCCATTAAGTCAGCTGAGTTTAGATAGCGGTGTCGTGGTGGTTGGGTCTACTGACTTCGAGAAATTAACCAGAACACATTCCAACGTTTTGTGCCAGAGCAGCTAAGACATCTCTATCACAATGACGACTCATGTACACTTATGTATGTCTCTGTATATAAAATATTGACAATGAACATGATACATTATAAAAGTGCCTAATAAATATATCGCTGTTAGGTACACTCTTTACATTAAGTAAACCTCTCTATATATAATATGAAAAATGAAATATGTGTAATACAGTTGTCTCGGAATCGAAAATATATTACAAAGCATTTGCCTATGAGATGAATTTATTAATAATAAAACTATAGTAGTGACTTATAAAGTTTATCGTGTAGCTGACCTACATGTCCCTCTGTCGTCTGCTTTTCGTTTCTTGTCACTACAGAAACAATTGTAAATATGAATGAAAATAAAGTGTACTATTGGTGATAAAAATATCGCGGTAATAATTGATTTTTGTTTAACAGTCCTCTCTCCATACGTAACATTAACATCTACATATGTTTGTATGTGCGTGTGTATTCAGTTAAACAAATTTTTTAGAATTTTATTTTAGAATTCAGTCTAAGAGCTAGTTTTAACTGATTAAGTCACTAGGGCAGCATTTTGTTTTACGATATATATATACACATCGTCGAATATTAATAATATATCTATAATTTATTTATGATATTCATAATATATCTATAATTTATTTATGATATTCATAATATATCTATAATTTATTTATGATATTCATAATATATCTATAATTTATTTTATACACGAATATGGCAGCACTGGTCATTTTAATTCGATACAAATTTTCGGACTTTTAAAAAATTCTCACTTTACATTTCATTAATGTGCCATGTGTGTGTGTGATGTATTTGTGTGTGTATGTGTGTGTATATATTTAAATCTTCGTGTTTGTGTACCTGCGTACGTGTGGGCGCTAATATGTTTTAAAGTTATTTTCAAGTCAATTTCAATTATCCATCTATCTATCTATCTATCTATCTATCTATCTATCTATCTATCTATCTATCTATCTATCTATCTATCTATCTATCTATCTATCTATCTATCTATCAACTTCCTACATTACATTCCCACATGGGCAAAATCGCACACACGCATATACATATATATATATATATATATATATATATATATATATATATATATATATATATATATATATATATGTTTGTGTGTGTGTGTGTGTTTGTGTGTGTGTGTGTGTGTGTGTGTGTGTATAAAGTACATAATTGCACGCATAATAGTATTAAAAGTACGATTGTTAGTGTTATTAAAAGTACTATTATAATACTGTACTGTCACATAGACAGATCATGGTTCAATAATATTAACATAAAACATCCATTTTTGAAACATCTTTTTTTAGGTTCTTTATTTTATATATATATATATATATATATATATATATATATATATATGTATATATATATATATTTCAAATTGTAACTTGTTTTGCTTGTAACCATATTGCGCTGTTATTATCGTGTTGCAACATTTCGGCTACTTTTATACCTATCATACTCAGGCATTTGTTATAAAATCGTTGCCAAACACATACGTATATGTATATATATTGGTTCTTGTACTATATCTAATACAGTCAACATCTAATTTGGATGAAATACAATATTTTTGAAACATTTTGTGTTCGTTGTTTAGTTCGTTCAAAATGTGACACAAATGACATTGCGAAAGGAAGGTAGGTCATAATGTAGAGAGTTGACGAAGCCTAGAAATAAATTTTTTAGTATATTAAAAAATTGTACGAATGAGCGAATGTAAAAATTTACTTTTCTTCTATTAGTAAAGTATAAATTACACGTCATACCTCGGGGAACTGGGTCTTTGGATGCTAAACGAAGATTGATTGATTGATAGTAAAGTATAAGTTGCGAGAATTTACAAAAATTCATTGAAAACGTAGTGGTCTCGGCTAATTTTATTTCAGGCTACTGCTACAACTATCTCTCTTCGATTGTTTAGTAAAATAGAACAGTCTGAACGTGTCCGTGAATGTTTAACGTTTTAGGTTGATGACTGTTCGTGATTTGGTGGCCGCAATGGTTGAATAATATTTAAGCCGCGTTTTGTTCATCACGAAAATTTTCTTTAAAATGTTTCCGTTCGCTCGTGTGAGGCAAATAATTCGTTTATTTTTTTTAATCTTATTTAAAAAAAATGAAAAACTTCAAATCAAGCCTCTGTTTACAAAAAATATAATAAACAAGTCTATAGCGTTATACGAGTGTATTAAATTTTTTATTCATTTACGTAATGATTATTTATTTCGAAAGAAAAATTTGAGAGTTCTAGAAATAATGTACCTATCTTCAACTATTGCTCGATTTGTGATAATAATGGTACTGGCCACAAATAATTTACTACCAACATCGTCACCGAGAGGCTTCCTCCGTGCAGCAGCAGCAGATCACGAGTCCCAGTGTGACAAGAGCGACAGACGGACACTGGCAAACAAATGGCGGAAAATCATCAACCACCCGAGGCAGGGACAGATGGTTTTCGCCATGAGTTTGTTGGACGGGTCGGTACAGTCTTGAGTTCTGTGCTGTTTGTATTGCTAAAATTTTTACCTGAAAACTAAGAGATAAGAAAGTTACGTTACAACAATTGTAGTTTAAAAACATTTGTTAAATAACAATAGGGTAGATACTAAAACTGTAACAGTAACAACACTGCTTTTAATGAACTTTATAACTATTCGTACTAGTATAAATGTTCGCTACAAAATCTATACTAAACCTATCGATTCAGCATTATAAAATACGTTCCCGGATCGAATTATATTCTCCGATACGACCACGAACGTCGGCAGCGCATCGCTTGGCGTCTTGTGGCTGCCATCGACGCCGTCATAACTTCTCTGCACCGCCAGGATCAGCTTGAGAAAGTTCTACATGAAGCATACGATGGAGCTCTCAAGAACATCGGAGAGGTTCCGTTTTCTGTCGTTCAGGTTTTCGTTTGGCTGGAGATTGAAGTTTCTATTTTGAGAAATTTGGTTGTTTGAGAACCAGTTAAAAAATTTTTGTTGATTAAATGATTTTCGTTATTTAAATTCATTCATTCGTTATATTATATTAAATAATATTAACGTAAAACGTGGTTCAGTTACTTATTTCCTATAAGTTACTTTCTCTACTTTCACATTCTTGGTTTTGTTGAAGTAATCCTCAATTATAGATGATCGATTAAATTTGTTAAAAATTTTCAAAATGAACAAACGGTCGAATGAATGAATAAACGAATGAGTAAGTGAATGAATGAATGAATCCAGGCGTTCATGAGAAGTTTCAACGAAGCAGGTAAGAACTTCAACTGGAGTGCGACAGTCTTCAACCGCTGTCTCATCTATCTGTACGAAGAAATCACTTCATTCCATTGAACTCTCAGTCGATAACTCAGTTGTTCCTAACTTAATATCGTATCTTTTAAAATTTCTCTGTGAACCAAAGTTTTGATGCGAATAAATATAGATCTATAATTTAAAATTTGATTGCATTTTTTAAACATAAACTAACTCAATTGAATTGAATTGATAAATTGATTATTTAATCTAGCTTAATATCACTAGTGTAACAATTCATTACTTTTATTAGCAATAAGTTTAACACAAACGAAAGCTATGTTGACGAGCGGACTGACAAAAAATGTTATAAAATAACATTAAAATGGAAAAATGTTTTGATAAGTTTGCCATTTAACATTATTATTTGCATTATCATTACCATCAACCTTAGATTTTCAGATTTTGAGAGGATTAACATTGAAAATTTTTTTGTCTGTTCGTGGAAAATAAATGTACAAAACATTTCACGTACGTTAACACACACACTCATCCACACACACACTCACACACACGCGCACACACAGATGCACTACACATGCCTGCTAACGTTTAACCACGCATTATTATATAGGTACATTCAAATGCATGACTCGCCTTGCGTTTGCGTTACATACACACACACACACACACACACAGAAAGAGAGAGAGAGAGAGAGAAAGAAAGAGCTGCGAGAGAAAGCTGCCTATTATGTTGTCCATCCATTCCGCTATTTATTGGTTGGTTTATTTAAGTATATGTATATGATATATAGCTACATGTGCATGATTTATGCTCTTTCCTATTACACATATACATTCGTTAGGTTTTTTTCTATAAACAAAAACAAAATATAGACATACATAGATATACAATGAATACACTTTTATCAACATTTACACATAATAAATACATACAAAAACGTGTAGAGGTATGTGTATTTAATTAACTTGTGTTTACTGTGTGATTATTATTTTATTATGATTATTATTTCTTTAATTTTTTAATATTACGTATTAACATATTTACTGAATAGTCTCAAAGGCCATTGCTCAAAAAGCAATAAATTAAAACGATAGAAGCGTCGATGATGACTTGAATCTATGAAGCGTATTCGTGATATCATGTATATGTTTATGTGTTTTCTATGACTATCCACATGTGATCATTATGTTTGTCTATATGTGTGTATGTGTGTGCGTGCGTTTGGAGTGTGCGTGCGTGTGTACGTATGTATGTTTTATTTGCATGTTATAAGCACGCATGTACTTTATCTATACCTCTATAGTTCTATACACACATTACACGCACACATACACGCACATGTGTATACAAATACATACAACATGATCAACAACAATACGCTATACACAATATATGTATTGTATATATATCTACATAACTCATGATTATAATACCCACCAAAAAAGAAGAAAGTGAAAAAAGAGAGAGTGAGTGTACACGCAAGCAAGTATATGTACAATGCATACACACATGTACAATGAAGATCGAAGCTTGTTCACACATACACATACGCACGCACACACACACACAGACACACGTACACGCACACACACACACATACATACATTACACATACATACATTACACATACATCTACAGTATAGAGTTGATTGCACACAAGCATACATATATGGCATACGCAGTACAGTATATGTAAGCTACTACCACGCATTTCTTTCGACAATATTGTATTGCTGGGTCGAGTGGGTACGGACGGCTGACCGGTAGTTAGGTGAGTCAGGTGATTCCATAATTAATTTACGATCATAACATATACATAATTTATCAATTTGTCATAAGTGTTGTAATTAAAATTAAATAACAGTTAAGAATGATTACTTATTTATTCATATATATATTATATATATTGATAACATGAGTGTTTAATTTAATACTTTAATAATCCTACCTAAATTATTAAATAACGATATAATACAATATAATACAGCATTTATTCGATCCAAAAAATCAATTAAGAATGACTATTTATTTATTCATATTTTTATTTATTCATTGATTGTTACATTAAGTTACATTTCATTACATCACATTACATTACATTACATTATTATTACATTACCAAAATTATCATCGAGTGTTTAATGTTTATTGTTTATAGAAGCATAGATGCTATCGCATTAGCCAAATTATTTTTAAATTATCTAACTAAATCATTGTTGTAATGTAACACTAACAAAGTGTGCTTTGACTCAAACTTTGCTGTCAGCCATTTTGTAAACAACATATCATGTGGGAAATAATAACAATAGAAGCTATATAGGCCGTGTTTTGATTTTCATTAGCTTATAAAGTACAGACCAATCTTGTCATTGTTAAATATCTTGAACGTCAATCTTATTTACTAGGTTAGTGCAGATGTTAAATGAGTGCATAACTTCATGTTTAATCACAAATTTCTAGCTAGGTTACTCACGGACAGATGATGTTTGTTGAATTATAACTAATTGTTAATTTAATTCCATCCAGTTATCGAATGCTAGTTAACTACATGAGTATGGCGTCATTTTATGTAAAATTTGCAAAACGGGCTAATCCTACCCATAATAATAATAATAATAATAACAACACCAACAACAATAATAACAAAAATGATAAAAATCACAGCAACAACAACAACCGTTCAACAACTACACCAACTTTCGACATCAGAGTATATGTTATAATTCTACTCTTATGTAAACTTTTTATACTACTACTACTACTACTACTCTATCGATCCAACAGCCGAGCATCAAAATCCGCAACTGACCACCAACCCCAGCCTAAGCCACAACAATTTCCCA